CTGTCTGCCATGTAGATCTATCGCAGTTGTTGCGTGGGATGGTACTTACCATTATATTCTCCTCTTGGTTGGAACAACTGTTAGGAATCTGCTGAGGTACAACATGTGGAAATCAGGGCGGCTGTGTTAGTTTTGTTGAAAAGTCAAGAAATGTTGTCAGGAATATTGTAATTAGGAAAGATGATAATTCTGTTGCTCTTTTTCTCTATGCATATGACGAATGTTGAGGGAAACATCTGCAATCTTGTATAAAGGTTTTGGTTGAGATGTGTTTACTGTGCCTAACAGCACTCACTCCCACAGGCTGCCTATCCCTTCCTGCACGAAGTTCCCTTCATTACCCTTTCAACACCTGGGATGGACCCACGCCAGAGTGCCGTTCTGGGCAACGTTCTCAACCCAGCCTACGTCCCTAACTACTTGCAGAGCTTTCCAACACCCATGAGTGCCTGGCATCGCTTCTATAATACTATGATACACATTGGATTTGCGTGTTTCTGGAGGAAATGGGCCATCGTACCTCTGATACAAAAAGAGGTGAGCAAGATACCATCACAGACTATATATTGTTTTAGCTGATGATAGTTAAGAATATAACTGAGACTCTTAATAAGCAATTAATCTGCTGCAGGATAGGTTAATTATAATTTTGATATACTGTATAGTAGTTAATGTTACTTTGTGTAAATGAAGCATCCTTATATTTAGTATATTAGTGTTGGTGGTATTCGTCAGATCTCAGCACAGTTCCCGGAGCTGCCACCATTGTTAGAGCTGGAGAGGAACATGAGTCTAGCGCTGCTCAATACACACTTTACCATCGGTACACCACTGCCTCTCCTGCCCTCACAGGTGGAGGTGGGCGCCATGCACTGTCATCCCGCCAACTCTCTTCCTCACGTGAGTTGTCCTATGCTGTATAACCTCTTCGGCTTTATTTTTTTTTAACACATTGGCTTTCATTATCATCCACTCCATTACTATCTTGCCAGAGGCACACTTATGCTGTAGTTACAAAATGCTACATATCAACACCCCTCCTTCAGAGTGTAGGCACTGTACTTCTTACCTTCAGGATTCAAGTGCAGCTAACCAGTTTCCCTGAATTCCTTCACAAATTTACTTTGCTTACACTCCAACAGCACGTCAAGTCATAAAAACTATTTGTTTCCATTTCTCCCTATCTAACACGTTCACTCATGCTTGCTGGAAGTCCAAGCCCCTCGCACACAAAGCCTCCTTTATCCACTCCCTCCAATTTTTCCTAGGACGACCCCTACCCCACCTTCTTTCCAACATGGAATTATATGCCCGCCAAGTCATTATATTTTGTTCTCTCCTCTACAAATGTCCGAATCACCTTAACATCCCCTCCCTCAGCCCTCTGCATAAAACTTTTAGAAACTCCATACCTCCTTCTAATCTCCACACTATGGATTCTCTGCATTATGTTCACACCACATATTGCCCTCTCTGATCGCGGGCTCTATCCCCGTCCGTGGTACGGTTTGCTTGCAATCGTGTCATTACGATTTCGTGAGTCATTTCCCTCAGATATGACATCTCCACTGCTTCCAGCCTTCTCCTTGTTGCAATATTCACACCCATATATGAGCATTGGTAAGCATTATATAGGCGTATAAAAAGAGGGGATGGGCAGTTAAGAAATCAATATATTCAATTAAAGAGATAAATAAAGAGAGGAATAAGAAAAGCAAAAAGGGATTATCAGGCTAAGGTTGCATTGGATTCGAAGACTAACCCAAAAGGGTTCTTTCAGGTATACAGAAATAAGATTAGGGATAAGATAGGCCCACTTAAGAGTAACTCTGGTAAGATCACTGACAGTGATAAGGATATGTGCGAAATTTTCAATACCTACTTCCTCTCAGTTTTTACCCAGGAAAATACAAACGAAATTCCTGGAATAATAGATTATGTACAACAGGACGATAATAAACTATGCACGATTGCGGTAACTAGTGACATGGTCCTCAGACAAATAAAGAAACTAAAACCTAACAAATCCCCAGGACCTGATGAACTGTTTGCAAGGGTGTTAAAGGAATGTAAAGAGGAACTTAGCATACCTTTGGCTAATTTTTTTAACATATCACTACAAACTGGCATAGTGCCTGACAAGTGGAAAATAGAAAATGTAATACCTATTTACAAGGCAGGTGACAGGTCCTTGGCTTCGAACTATTGATCAATAAGCCTTACCTCCATTGTGGGAAAGTTTATGGAATCCATAATTGCCGAAGCAATTCGTAGTCATCTTGATAGGCATAGTTTGATTAATGAATCTCAACACGGTTTTACAAAGGGGCGTTCCTGTCTTACGAATTTACTAACATTTTTTACTAAGGTGTTTGAGGAGGTAGATCATAGTAATGAATATGATATTGTGTATATGGACTTCAGTAAGGCTTTCGATAGAGTTCCACATCAGAGGCTATTGAGGAAACTTAAGGCACATGGAATAGGAGGAGAATTTTTTTCCTGGGTAGAGGCATGGCTGACAAATAGGCAGGAGAAAGTTTGCATAAATAGGGAGAAATCACAATGGGGCACATCACAAGTGGGGTTCTGCAGGAGTCAGTGTTCGCCCGTTGTTGTTCAAAAATTACATAAACGACATAGATGAGGGAATAAATAGCGACATAAGCAAATTTGCTGATGACACCAAAATGGGCCGTCCAATTCATTCTAATGAGGACACTAGATCACTCCAGGATGATTTGAATAGACTGATGCAATGGTCGGAGAAATGGCAGATGCAGTTTAATATTGACAAATGCAAAGTTCTAAATGTTGGACAGGAAAATAATCATGCGATTTAGGAGTTCTTGTTAGCAGTAATCTAAAACCAAGACAACAGTGCATTAGTGTTCGCAATAAAGCAAACAGAATTTTTGGCTTTATATCTAGAAGTATAAATAATAGAAGTCCTCAGGTTGTTCTTCAACTATATATATCCTTGGTTAGGCCTCATTTAGACTATGCTGCTCAGTTCTGGTCACCGTATTACAGAATGGATATAAATGCTCTGGAAAACATACAGAGGAGGATGACAAAGTTGGTCCCATGTATCAGAAATCTTCTCTATGAGGATTGACTGAGGCCCTGAATCTGCACTCTCTTGAAAGGCGTAGAATTAGGGGGGGATATGATCGAGGTGTATAAATGGAAAACAGGAATAAATAAAGGGGATGTAAATAGCATGCTGAAAATTTCCATCCAAGACAGGCCTTGCAGCAATGGTTTCAAGTTGGAAAAATTCAGATTCAGGAAAGATATAGGAAAGCACAGGTTTGGTAATAGAGTTGTGGATGAGTGGAACAAGCTCCCGAGTACAGTTATTCAGGCTTAAACGTTTTGTAGTTTTAAAAATAGGTTAGATAAATACATGAGTGGGTGTGGGTGGGTGTGAGTTGGACCTGACTAGCTTGTGCTGCAGGGTCTTGTGCCGTGCTCCTTCCTTGAGTGGAGGTGACCAGACTTGGCGGGTCATTGGGCTAATCCGGGGGGTACATGGACCTGCTCCGCATGGGTCAGTAGGCCTGTTGCAGTGTTCCTTCTTTCTTATGTTCTTACGTTCTTATTCCCATCCTTGCATCCATGAATAACATGCCTTGCCTTCACAGACTCCTGGGTGCCCCATTTACCTTTTTCCCCTCATCAGTTCTTCGATACACCTCGGGTTCAGTGCATCCAAATTTATTTACATCAATATCTATATGTAAGCTCAATAAAAACCCATTTGGGGCAGCAACACAGGAGGTTGATTGACCTGTATATTTCAACCCCCTTCTGTGATCCTCTTCAGCATTGTGAGACGTTCCCAGAAGTGATCCTCTTTAGATCACTCAACCTCCTGTGTTTCTGTCTTCATGTGGGTTATTATTCAGCACTAAAGAGTGTTCAATTACACTTTAGGTATACATCTAGATGTATTTAGCATATTGCATGTGCGAGAGACATATCCCTGTATTGCATATCCCCAGTCCCTCAGTCCCTTGTACATCAGAACATGTGATAGGAATTGTCCAATGTTGCATAAATTAGTAATAATGGCGTTGAAAACTTGATGTGAGCCAGGAAAGGCATTCACAATTTTTCACATAGAAACTAATACACTAATTTCTTAAAAAAAAAAAAAATAGCAAATTAGGCTGTAAACAGCCCCCCAGAAATTTGAACCTTCCTCTAAGCAATGCCGTGGTAGGTACAGCATTATGCCAACGTCGGTCATGCTGTTAGGTACAGCATTATACCAAAGTCGGTCTTGCTGTTAGATACAGCATTATACCAACGACGGTGATGTTCTTAGGTACAGCATTATGCTAAATTTGGTCATGCTGTTAGAAACAGCACTATGCCAAAGTCGGTCATGCTGTTAGGTACAGCATTATACCAACAACGGTCATGTTGTTAGGTACAGCATTGTACCAACGACGGTCATGTTGCTAGGTACAGCATTGTACCAACGACGGTCATGTAGTTAGGTACAGCATTATGCCAATGACGGTCATGCTATTAGGTACAGCATTATGCCAACGACGGTCATGTTATTAGGTACAGCCTTATGCCAACAACGGTCATGCTGTTAGGTACAGCATTATGCCAACGACGGTCATGCTGTTAGGTACAGCATTATACCAACGACGGTCATGTTGTTAGGTACAGCATTCCACTAACTTTCTCCAGAGTGAATATAAAAAATGGTAGACTGTACCGACGGGTTGATATTCACATGTGCAACAGTTAGGTATCTTTATTCCGACACGTTTCGCCTACACAGTAGGCTTCTTCAGTCAAGTACAGAAGAGTTAGGAGAAGCAGTAGAGATATGAAGACGATGTCATCAGTACATCACCCATGAAGACGTAGTTTTGAGGTTGTCAGTCCCTCACTCTGGAGAAGAGTTTTGCTCTAAAGTCTTCAACATCCCTATTGCTTCTCCTAACTCTTCTGTACTCGACTGAAGAAGCCTACTGTGTAGGTGAGACGTTTCGGAATAAAGATACCTAACTGTTGTACAGAGCTTTTGTTCATATCTTCAGAACTCCTTATCCGATCTGATCCCAATTTTCAACCCATGTGAACAGTACCTAGGATAGGTTCATGGAACAGCTAGCATGTGTTAGTGCCCTTTGGATTCCATGCGACAGCTAGCATCTGTTAGTGCCCTTGGATTCCATGCGACAGCTAGCATCTGTTAGTGCCCATGGATTCCATGCGACAGCTAGCATCTGTTAGTGCCCTTTGGATTCCATGCAACAGCTAGCATCTGTTAGTGCCCATGGATTCCATGCAACAGCTAGCATCTGTTAGTGCCCATGGATTCCATGCGACAGCTAGCATCTGTTAGTGCCCATGGATTCCATGCGACAGCTAGCATCTGTTAGTGCCCATGGATTCCATGCGACAGCTAGCATCTGTTAGTGCCCATGGATTCCATGCGACAGCTAGCATCTGTTAGTGCCCATGGATTCCATGCGACAGCTAGCATCTGTTAGTGCCCTTTGGATTCCATGCGATAATTCGTAGAGAACGTCTTTTCACCTTCAACTTTCCAACAATTGCTACTCTATTTTAGATGAGAGTTGATAGTGGAAGGTGTAGCTGCCATTTTGCCAATTCTGATTTAGATTACACGATACGATTTTTATTCAATAACTAGACGGCATTAAAGTTTAAGAGTTGTTGCATCTTATGAAATTGTAGGATCATTTTAGGTGTCAGTGTAGATGTCAGTTTCTCAAATTTGATAATGTAGTTACTTGTAATTGTTTCATTCTCTACAATAACTGAAAAAGACATCTTCTGGTGGGTTTACAAGTTTGCCTTGATTTTGGGTTGCATAGATGTTAATTTGCCTCGTTTAATAAGCAAACTGCTTCCACTAAATAACTGGAGAATGTCTCCTCTGATCGGTTTTAAACCACAAATGCTAGTAAATTTTAATTGGAGGAAATTATGGATTGATTTTTACTTGTGTTATTGCCAATTTACTGTCTTTTTTTCATGAAATTTGGAAAGTAGAAACATAGGTTTTCTTGTGACACTTTGTGAATAAATCGTCGGATTAGCATCATGACTTCAACTGTGATTAGATGACAGTGAAATTTCTGAGTGGATTGAAACGCTAGCATATTTTGGGAGACTGATCTGTCATAAAACTGAAGAATGCTCTTTTACATATTAAATTTTGTTATTTTTATTATATAAATTAAGACATTAGAAACTAATGCAGTTCCTTTAGCTATTCCTATAGCATACATTAAGCTACAATCTATGCAATACAGTGATACCTATCTCTAGGTTTGTCTAGCTCTTCAGATCTATTACTGAGTGCCTTAGTCTTTGTGATTATTCCATGTCAACTCAAAAGAATATTCAACACTCTTTCAGGAATTGGAATCATGGATCACAGAAGCAGGATCTTCTGGTGTAATATACTTCAGTTTGGGATCTGTCACACGTAGTTCCTCAATGCCAGTCCAGTACCGCGACCTCTTCATCCAGGCTTTCCGCAGGCTGCCACAGCGAGTCATCTGGAAATACGAGGAAGAGCTGGAGGACGTCCCTGACAACGTGATGATCAACAAGTGGCTTCCCCAGCAAGACATTCTTGGTGAATCTTAGTTTTTATTACATTCTCGGTCACAGCTCTGGCACATTATCCTTATTTTTCTTATTAGGCATTTTTTTCAATTTATTTATTTATTTATTTATTTATTTATTTATTTAGAAATTTAGCATACATACAGAGGTACAAAAAATACAGGTAAGAGCAGCATGCCAAAGCCACTTATATGCATAGCATATAGTTGTCTTCCACTCGCAGTATTTACACCCTTGATTTACCAGCAGTCTGATATTGTCGGACGTTTATTCCCACGTCTTACACTAACTAATCGGTCCAGTTTATTTGCAGAATGTTAAGCTAGAATTTCTTTACTGAATGGAAATAGTTTTAAAATGTTTTTTAACTTATAATAAATGTTAAGAGACCTGACTGCGACGCTGGTAAAGTCTTTCCAGAAATGAAAACAAGTATTTTAACAAGAGGATTGTGTACCTCATTACTCCTGAGAGTAATGAGGTACACAACTGTGCACAAGAGGATTGTGTACAAGAGGATTGTGTTCCTCATTACTCCCAGGAATAATAAGGTCCACAACTGTGTACAAGAGGACTATGTACCTCATTACTCCCAGGAGTAATGAGGTACACAACTGTGTACAAGAGGATTGTGTACAAGAGGATTGTGTTCCTCATTACTCCCAGGAATAATAAGGTCCACAACTGTGTACAAGAGGACTATGTACCTCATTACTCCCAGGAGTAATGAGGTACACAACTCTGTACAAGAGGACTGTGTACCTCATTACTCCCAGGAATAATGAGGTACACAACTGTGTACAAGAGGATTAAGTACCTCGTTACTCCCGACTTAATGTGCTTGTGTATTTGATGATAATATCTTTGAATTATATTTGGATATTAGTTTCCTTTTGATGACTTGTGACTGCCTTCATTGATTCCCTTCAAATCTTCTCAGGAAATATTTAACTGAATTATCAACATATGCCGCACTCTGTACTATTCCAATCGCATTCATTGAGGCCCAAGGAACTGGCGGTATGGAATGTGGGGACTCTTTCTCTGATCAGGCAGCGAATGAAAAGCATAAAATTTAATTTTTTTATTTACAATGGACCATGCCTCTTCTTTCACTACCATTGTCCACAGCTCACAACAACGTGAAAGTGTTCATCACACACGGTGGTCTCCTCAGTATGCAAGAAGCCATCTACCACGCCACGCCACTCCTCACTCTACCTCTCTTCGGTGACCAGCCCAAGAATGGCATGTTTATTAAGAACTCTGGCTTGGGAGACTTTCTGATATGGGAAGAACTCACTTCAGACATGATCGTTGAGGCTCTCGCCAAAATTCTTAATGTCCCAAAGTATGTATATTTATCAATCCTGCTTAAGTGAAACAATGTAAATGATTTATTTACTGGTATTCTTCAGTTGCTGTATCGTAATACTACATTTGTTGTTACACAAATAACCCGCACATACAAGAGAGGAGCTTACGACGACGTTACGGTCCGACATGGACCATTTACAAAGTATGACTTTGGAAATGGTCCAATTCGGACCGAAACGTCGTCGTAGGCTCCTCTCTTCTATGTGCGGGTTATTTGTGTATCGTTCCAGTCACGGTATTGTGACTGTTTTGTTATATTTGTTGAGAGCAGAAGTATTTACTCTGGCAGCCAATCAGTTATTTCTAAGACAGATAAATTTGAGGAATTTTATTTGATTTTCGCAGTTGATTTGACTGTCACAGATTGTTTCAAAACATGTACATAATATTTTAATTCGCCATTCCTGTTAATAAAATCATAGCTAAGAAAAGTCTCAAAATTTGTGAATTATTGCTTTTAAAATTATAATATAATGGACTGTTAAATTTAGGTTTCACACCGACAGTCACTTCTCTGAGATATGAGATCCAGAACTCTCCTGCAGAGGGTTCTGGAACTTATATTTCATCTAACCATATCAATTAACTATGTCAACTAACCATATCAATGAACTATGTCATCTAACCATATCAATGAACTATGTCATCTAACCCTATCAATTAACTATGTCAACTAACCATATCAATTAACTATGTCAACTAACCATATCAATTAACAATGTCATCTAACCATATCAATGAACTATGTCATCTAACCACATCAATGAACTATGTCATCTAACCATATCAATAACTATGTCAACTAACCATATCAATTAACTATGTCATCTAACCATATCAATTAACTATGTCATCTAACCATATAAATAACTATGTCATCTAACCACTATCAATAACTATGTCATCTAACCATATCAATAACTATGTCACTAACCATATCAATTAACTATGTCATCTAACCATATCAATTAACTATGTCAACTAACCATATCAATGAACTATGTCATCAAACCATATCAATGAACTATGTCATCAAACCATATCAATTAACTATGTCAACTAACCATATCAATTAACTATGTCAACTAACCATATCAATTAACTATGTCATCTAACCATATCAATTAACTATGTCAACTAACGATATCAATTAACTATGTCATCTAACCATATCAATTAACTATGTCAACTAACCATATCAATGAACTATGTCATCTAACCATATCAATTAACTATGTCAACTAACCATATCAATTAACTATGTCATCTAACCATATCAATTAACTATGTCAACTAACCATATCAATTAACTATGTCATCTAACCATATCAATGAACTATGTCAACTAACCATATCAATGAACTATGTCATCTAACCATATCAATTAACTATGTCATCTAACCATATCAATTAACTATGTCAACTAACCATATCAATTAACTATGTCATCTAACCATATCAATTTACTATGTCATCTAACCATATCAATGAACTATGTCAACTAACCATATCAATGAACTATGTCATCTAACCATATCAATTAACTATGTCATCTAACCATATCAATTAACTATGTCAACTAACCCTATCAATTAACTATGTCAACTAACCATATAAATTAACCATGTCAACTAACCATATCAACCGCTTGTTGCAATCTACCTCACGATTGTGAGGGTTTTACACACACACACACAACACACACACACACACACACACACACACACACACACACACACACAACACACACACACACACATACACACATATACACACACACACACACACACACACACACACACACACACACACACACACACATACACACACATACACACACACACACAAACACACAAAACACACATACACATACACACACACACACATAACACACACACACACGCAACACACACACAGACACACACACACACACACACCACACACACACACACACACCACACATACACACACACACACACACACACACACACACACACACACAAACAAACACACACATACACACACACACACACACTCACACACACACACACACACACACACACACACACACAAACACACACACACACACACACACACACATACACACACACACATACACACATACACACATACACACACACACACACACACACACACATACACACACACACACACACATGAGGAAAGATAGAAGGGGCAGGGGGGGAGGTGGGGTTGCTCTGCTCGTAAAAAACAGATGGAAATTCGAGAAAATGGAAGGCATAGATTAGACAGGAGAAAGAGACTACATAGCAGATACACTTCAGTCTGGGGAACACAAAGTGGTCATTGCAGTGATGTATAATCCACCACAGAACTGCAGGAGGCCAAGAGAGGAATATAAAGAGAGCAACAGAGCAATGGTGGACACACTTGCTGAGGTGGCAAGAAGAGCTCATTCCAGTATAGCAAAGTTGCTGGTTATGGGGGATTTCAACCACAGGGAGATTGACTGGGAAAACCTGGAGCCACATGGGGGTCCCGAAACATGGAGAGCCAGGATGTTGGACGTGGTGCTGGAAAACCTCATGCACCAACATGTTAAGGACACTACCAGAGTGAGAGGGGAGGATGAACCAGCAAGATTGGACCTTGTGTTCACCCTGGGCAGCTCAAACATTGAGGACATCAAGTATGAGAGTCCCCTAGGAACTAGCGACCACGTGGTTCTGTGCTTTGAATACATAGTGGAGCTGCAAGTGGAGAGAATAACAGGAGTTGAATGGGAAAAGCCTGACTATAAAAGAGGGGACTACATAGGGTTGAAGAACTTCCTGCGTGAGGTCCAGTGGGACAGAGAACTGGCAGGAAAGCCAGTAAATGAAATGATGGAATATGTAACAACAAAATGCAAGGAGGCAGTGGAAAGGTTTATTCCCAAGGGCAACAGTAACAATGGGAAGACCAGAACGAGCCCCTGGTTTACCCGACGGTGTAAGGAGGCAAAAACAAAGTGCAATAGAGAATGGAAAAAGTGCAGAAGGCAGAGAACACACGAAAATAGGGAGATCAGTCGCAGAGCCAGGAATGAGTATGCACAGGTAAGGAGGGAGGCCCAGCGACTGTATGAAAATGACATAGCATCGAGAATCAAGACTGACCCGAAACTGTTGTATAGCCACATCAGGAGGAAGACTACAGTCAAAGACCAGGTGATCAGATTAAGGACAGAAGGTGGAGAACTCACAAGAAATGATTAGGAGGTATGTGTGGAGCTGAACAGGAGATTTAAGGAAGTTTTTACAGTAGAGATAGGAAGGGTTGTGGGAAGACAGCACAGAAGGGAACATCAAGAGGGAATATACCAACAAGTGTTTGGATGACAACGAACAACTGAGGAGGAGGTGAAGAAGCTCTTAAGTGACCTTGACACCTCAAAGGCGATGGGACCGGACAACATCTCCCCATGGGTCCTTAGAGAAGGAGCAGAGATGCTGTGCGTGCCTCTAACCACAATCTTCAACACATCCCTTGAAACGGGCAACTACCTGAGAAATGGAAGACAGCTAATGTAGTCCCCCACATTTAAGAAAGGAAACAGAAACGAGGCACTAAACTACAGACCTGTGTCTCTGACATGTATTTGTGCAAAGTCATGGAGAAGATTATCAGAGGAGAGTGGTCGAACACCTGGAAAGAACAAGATTATAAATGAAACCAGCATTGGTTCATGGAAGGCAAATCCTGTATCACAAACCTCCTGGAGTTTTATGACAAGGTAACAGAAGTAAGACACGAGAGAGAGGGGTGGGTAGATTGCGTTTTCCTAGACTGCAGGAAAGCCTTCGACACAGTTCCCCACAAGAGATTAGTGCAGAAGCTGGAGGATCAGGCGCATGTAAAAGGGAGGGCACTGCAATAGATAAGGGAATATCTGACAGGAGGCAGCAACGAGTCATGGTAAGTGAAGAGGTATCACAGTGGGCGCCTGTTACGAGCAGGGTCCCACAGTGGTCAGTTCTAGGACCAGTGCTATTTTTGATATATGTGAACGACATGATGGAAGGAATAGACTCTGAAGTGTCCCTGTTCGCAGATGACGTGAAGTTGATGAGAAGAATTAAATCGGACGAGGATGAGGCAGGACTGCAAAGAGACCTGGACAGGCTGGACATGTGGTCCAGTAACTGGCTTCTCGAATTCAATCCAGCCAAATGCAAAGTCATGAAGATTGGGGAGGGGCAAAGAAGACCGCAGACAGAGTATAGGCTATGTGGACATAGACTACAGACCTCACTCAGGGAGAAAGACCTTGGGGTGACCATAACACCGAGCACATCACCGGAGGCACACATCAACCAAATAACTGCTGCAGCATAGGGGCGCCTGGCAAACCTGAGAATAGCGTTCCGATACCTTAATAAGGAATCGTTCAAGACACTGTACACTGTGTATGTTAGGCCCATACTGGAGTATGCAGCACCAGTCTGGAACCCACACCTGGTCAAGCACGTCAAGAAGTTAGAGAAAGTACAAAGGTTTGCAACAAGGCTAGTCCCAGAGCTCAAGGTAATGTCGTACGAGGAAAGGTTAAGGGAAATCGGACTGACGACACTGGAGGACAGAAGGGTCAGAGGAGACATGATAACGACATACAAGATACTGCGGTGAATAGACAAGGTGGACAGAGATAGGATGTTCCAGAGAGGGGACACAGGGACAAGGGGTCACAACTGGAAGCTGAAGACTCAGACGAGTCACAGGGACGTTAGGAAGTATTTCTTCAGTCATAGAGTTGTCAGCAAGTGGAAGAGCCTAGCAAGTGAAGTAGTGGAGACAGGAACCATACATAGTTTTAAGAAGTGGTATGACAAAGCTCAGGAAGAAGAGAGAGAGAGGACCCAGTAGCGATCAGTGAAGAGGCGGGGCCAGGAGCTGAGTCTCGACCTCTGCAACCACAATTAGGTGAGTGCAATTAGGTGAGTACACATATACAGGATTTTACACCTTTATGTGAATTTACGTAATTTTAGGCACACAAGACAGTACA